AAATAAAACAACAATGGAAGTCAAAGCCAACAAAATAGCAACAACAAAACCAAAATAACAATAACCAAAAGAAAGCCACTGACAAAAATGGAAAAGCCTATATATAGTTCGAGGTCTATTTGTCGACTTTTGGAAGTGTTTTCCAGTCAAGTTTTATGGGGTTCCCCACACTGCCTCCAAAGTCTATTTTTGGGGATTTCATCACTTTGCTCCCCTTGCTGCTCCATTGCATGTCCTTAGTGTTTTACCCCAGCGTGATGGGGTCAGATTGTGCAAAATTCCCACACTGGGTCTCCAGTGTTGTCCCCTGCAGTGCTAAAGTTTAGTGAGGGATGTCGTGTCTCATGGTGGGGCTGGTCCTATGGTCCTATGGTCCTGCCGGTCCTACGGTGGGGCCGATCCTATGGTCTCTGTGTGTTGTCCCATCAGGAATATCGTCCTTGGGGTTTGCTGGGCCAGATGTCCTCTCCTCCCTTTCCAACCCTTTACATTTTCCCCATGTGCTTCAATATGAAGCACCCCTCTCCCCAAGCTGTAGCCCCAGTGCTGTCCTCTGAAATGCATTCTTCTTAGGGGGAAGGGGTCCACATAGTTGGGATTGGGGCTGGCCCTGCAAGTTCTTGAAGCACTTACAGATGAAGCTTAAAGACTACATTTTTTAGTATGGATTACATATCAGCCTAAAATAACAAAAATTCTCACAAGTGGACCATGATACATGAAGACAAATTGAAATCATCCAGGATTCTTTTTACTCAGATCCATAATATATACTCATAGTAGCAGAAGTTAAAAGGCAACAATGTATTTTATTGGCAAATCTGCTGCAAAAGAGCTCATATTTAAAATATCAAATATTGTGGTGTGCTAGTATGGCGTCATTGCAATATATAGTACCCATACTCAGTTACCATTGGGATGTTGTGAATGCAGAAGATGCTGTCTTTCATAGTTGCAATAAAAAGCTGATAAAATAGGCCCCAGTGCAATCTTTAGTTATGTTAATTTTAGGGGCTGAAAGCAGAGTGGCTTCCAGAGAGGCAGAGGCAGACATGCTTCTACGTCCATCCATCATTCCCTATTCTGACATCAACCATTCCTCCCCTGGCTGGGTTCAAGAATTTGTCGCCATGACCACACAGACCTCATAGATAATAGTCACAGAGAAGGGGGCTTATTCGGTAGTTAAAAAGTTACAACAAACCAGGATCAGTAAACAGTCGGGATTCAGTCATTGGCCCATAATAGGCTCGCTCCTCAGCCAACAGCCAACTTTGTTCCTCGGCCTCTTAGCCACGTGTTTGTTTGGTCTCTGCCTCGGTGGGTCAGGAAAGCAGCCTGCTGCTCAGCTCCACAGTCTCATAGTTTCACAGATGCTCCTCTGTCCTGTCTTATTGCGTTGGCCTCTGGTGCTTCTGGTCGCAGTCTCTACCATTCCCACGGGGATCTCAAAAGGAAGGCGCTGGGAGCCTTTCTTCCAATGGTCCTAGGACTTCTCTCTGTGCTTCTGAGATGACTCTGACGCACAGAAGAATGGCTTTGGTGGAGGTGTGGATGTTGTCTTTTAATCGATCATAATGAGGAAATAACTGATGTGACTTGAACCAGCCCCTCTACAAGGTCAACACGTAATCCCACCATAATCCTGTCCAGTAACATAGTAGAAAACTCCTTTCAAAATGTGATTATAGCCACAGTTTTAGAACCCAGGATTATAATACATCACCTCAGGAAATACCACCCCGTACTGAAAAACCTCAATGCAAAAGGAAGCAGAAAATAATAAAAACAAAAACAAATTTAAAGTTGGGCAAAAAAGAAAACAAATGATAAGATGCCAAATTTTAGCCTAACTATATGTGCATTAATCCATTTTCCACCGTAGTGTGTTTGAGGACAAGGCTGTTCACGTTGCCGGTTAATGGTCAGAGGGGATTCCCTGGAGGCTGAATCTCTCTGGAAACGCTGCAAATGAATTTTGATCCATCACTGTTACTTATAGCCACCTTCTAACTAGGTGCTCCAAATTTAAGCTCCAATAAAATTTCCTCCTCTAGTCTTGGGATTTATTGTTTATTGATCTTTGGATCACACAGGTTAGCTTCTTCTGGGTGAACTTAGCTGACAGCTCACTAAGGTGACTGCTTGTTTTACAACTCCAGATGCTATTATTTCTGGTAGGTAGGCTGGTTTCTTCACCACACTTCAGTTGTTTCTTCATGAGGGTCAGTATCCAGCACAGCTGCATCATAAGAACTGAATGTTCTTGGATTAGGGCTGAAGGTTAAGTGCAAGCTCAAATCTATTCATTTCATTAATTATACTTACCTGGAATTCATTTCGTTAATTATACTTACCTGACAGCTCAAGATGTCAATAAAAGTACCTGTTCCAGGTAAGTATTTTCATTGATTATTTTTAATGCAGTGTTGTTAGAGGCTATTGCACATCATCCAACGTTATAGATGAGACTCACCGGTTAAATCACAGTTGGTGACATGACCTGTGCAATGCATGATACAGCCAGGACTTCCTCCTAGATCTTTCTACCGCCAGAGTCATGCTCAAACCACCTGGTATGAGCTTCTTGCCAAGAGAAATCATGTGGACAGAATCGGAAACCAAAGTAAGGCCTATGAGATTAGACTAAATGTCAAAAGATGGGTAAGCCAAGAGAGCTCTGTGAGGTCAAAAATGCAGTGGGGTCATTTCAGTATTGGGTGTTGGCCTCTGTCCGGACCCGTCATGACAGAAAATCCAACCTTCTTAGGATGGAACTCATGGGGCAACATTTGATATCTCAGGGCATGTGGGTTACTTTTACAGCCACACACCAATCAACCACCCGGCCACTGGCCACCCAACCAACAAACCAATTGTCTTCAAGTTGATTCTGACTCCTGGTAACTCCATGTGCAGAGACAGCAATGAATTCTGTAGAGGTTTCCATGTTTGATTGGCAAGCCTTTCTATTTGCCATTCCTTTTTATCAAGGCATTTATGAGTGAGCTTGAACCTCCAACTCTTTGGTTTTCAGGTGAGTGTGTTAACCATGGCAGCCACCAGCGGGTTCCACAAAGACACATGGAGCCCAGGTTGTTCTTCCTTGCATGAGAGAGAGCCTGCCGAGCAAGGGGAGATCTAACTGCGCTCAGGTGCAGGACAAGGGCTCAGGGCCTATCAGCTATGCTGCTTTGGGGAAGTCCTTGTGAGACTCTTGGAGTGGCTCAGGATCAGGGCCAAGCAGGAGGCTAACTTCAGCTCTGTGCAATTGTCAGAATCACAGGAACAAGCGACATGGGAAAAAGGGACTATCTAGACATTATTCAACCCAAGGTCTCTCACCCAGAGTAGGGTAAAGAATGACCCATCTCCCCTCTCCATGTTTGTTTTTTGATCAAACCAACACTTGAGTAATACAGAAAATCTGGTCAAAACAAGGAGGCAAAGGGAAGACATAACCTTACCAGCTCAGGAATTGGCACTACATTGACCACAAGAACCCAAAATCTGGGAAGTGGCTCCATAGCTAAGATGTCGTGTCTGACTGGAACAACCAGGTAGCTGCAGCCTTTCAAGTTTCACTCTGAGCTCCAGTCTTGTCTCCTTACATGAGTTGTAAGACCCTGAGAGCAGTCACGGTCCTTGCTCAGGCCTCTCACCACTTTCCTTGTCTCAGGCAAGTCACCACTGTTCTATGCTTCATGTCCATGAGAGGATCAGGAGAGGGGAGAGGGCATTGGTCGTGTAGTGACAGAATCCTTATCTTTTTTGTTCTTTTTCCTGGAGATCTTGGTTCACTTCCCAGTCCAAGCACATGTGTTATGTGCAACCACCACCCATCTGTCAGCAGAGGTGTATGCTGAACATGCTTCAGTGGAGGTCTCTACTGGGATGAACAAGGATAAAAGATCTGGCAATTTACTTCTCCAAATCAGTCAGTGATGACTCTTTGTAGCCCAGCAGTTCAATTCCCACTGATTAAGGGGATGGTGCAGGACTGAGCAGCATTTCATCCCATTGTGTGTGGTGTCCAGTGGTAACTGGAAGTTAAGAGCTGGCCCAGTGGTAACTAACAACAAGCAGACCTTAAGGATTTTTTTCTGAGCAGTTGTCACCATTTTATAACTCTCTGTCATATACCTGACTTTCTACTTAGGACCAAGACTTTAGTAAAACCATTATCAAAGAGCCTGACAACTGACCTCCGTTCTTAATTCCCACCAGCTTGCTCCTCCCAGAGCATCTTTACCCTGTGGACTTCCTGATCAGAGAGGGGTTCAGACAGCTGGCACCTGGGCTGCAGATGACTCTGTCTCACTAGGGCCACCGGGGTTAGAATTCCCATGTCCAGGAACACCCTCCCCTTCCCAACCCCCCTGCTTTCTTAATCCCATGGAACCCCCGCTCTCTTAGGATCCAGACACTCCTGCGAGGCCACTTTCCTGAGTCAGACTCTGAGCCTGCCTTCCATCTGGGGCTTTCTGTGTGTGCTCTCTTGCCTCAAATCCTTGGTGCCAGGAAAGACTCATGAAGTCATGAAATTGCTCACCAGGAAATGACATCCACCTTTTCTCCGGCTCTAAGTCATAGTTCTTAGAAGTGAGGCCTTCCTTCCTCGGCACCCAAAGAAGACGGAATGAATGATGCTGATGTGGTCATCCACAGACAGGCCCCAGGCTGTCCCTACGCTGTGCTGATTTAGCCTCAAGAGCCACAGAATAGAGGCTGCACTGTGGTCCTCACTTGAGAAACCGGAGCCCTTGCAAACATCCCTGGTTCTTGAACGCCACTGCCGGCCCTGCTTCCTCTTCACCAAACATGATTTGACTGCCATGAAGGAGGATGCAGAGGTATTTCTTTTGTAACACATCAACAAGATACATGGACTCGGCCCAAACACAGTGGGCTCAACCGCCCCGTGTCTGAGAGGATGGCATACTTTGGTGTTTATTTCCGTTGTACGCAGGGTGGTTATGAAGCAAAAGACCCAGTGATACCTAAAGATAATCTCCGTGTAAAAGCTTAGGCTTTGTGTCTTGGCCTGCTGACACGAGAGAGGGCCCTCTGTTGCTGCAGTTGTCTGCAGGGCTGTCCTAATGGCCAGCCGGATGTAGGGATCACACCGTGTGAGGGTGAAGGTAGCTTGTGTGACATGAGTCAGCAGCTGGGGGTCCCAGCCCCTGAAATGGGGGAAGTTGCTGAGGGTTGTGCACAGAGGGTGTGAAGTCATGCCGAGATGCTCTTGGGCCAGCAGGTGCCTTTTGAGAGAGACTCAGAGTGCTTCCTGGGTGTGCACAGTCGACGCGTGTTCATGTTTAGGAACACTCGATCGTTGCTCACGTGATCAAGGGAAGAGAAAAATAGCAGTCTGGCAGCTGTTCCTTTGGCCTTTTTCCCACCAAAGGTGCCATGGGCACCTAGACTCTTGGGGTGAAAAGGACCTAAAAAACCCACCACTGTCATCCCTACAGACAAACAAACAAACCACTTACTGACCGGCCCCCTCCTCTCAGTACTCTTGACTTCGCTCATCCTCCTGAGGATTTGTGTGATCCGTGTCATTATGCCCATGCTGCCATGCAGGGGACCAAGAGCTCTTTCAGGAGAGCTCCTCCGCTCTAGTCCACCTACCTTTGGGATGGATCTTTGACCTCTGGTTTCCTGCCTTTCCCTTCCCTACTCACAGTGTCTCTAACGCCATGCCCTGCATTTCTGCAGAGCCCTTGGGCAGGAAGGGATGTCCAGGACACACGGTTGTACCTTCTGTCTCCCTGGGATGACTGTTCCTCAGCCTGATCTCCCTGCTGCTTCTCTGCCTCAACCCTCGGGCCTGGGCCTGACCCTCCCTGACAATGGCCCTGACACCCATTCTTTCATGACCCCGTCCACACTGGAAGTTGGAGTTTTCCAAGGAAAGCCTGATCCTCTCTGCAGTACTGCATTTGCCCATCAGCCCATGAATGGCTAGACAGAACCTGTCAGCATTTATTTGTTTGTTTAGTTATTTATTTCACCACCTCACGGCTGGTACTCAGCTCTAGTAAGCTAGGAGAGAGAGCCAAGGTGGGATTCCAAGAATTTCTCTGGAAAGGTGAGCCTGGTACCTAGGCACACAGCACAGCCTGGGGCATTGCCCCAGATGACTGGGGGAACCTTCCATCACCCAGTCTGTGTCCTCCTCAATCCTTTTGGTCACTGATGAGGCGTTAGTGTGTTGGTCCGAAAATACAAAATTTGAGGTAGGATTTGCAATTTTCGGACTGCACAGACCTGCTGCATGGCCAGGAAATGGGTGTGCTCTGAGAAAATGGGCAACACTCCTCATATTTAGGATCACACAGTTTGGATAAGCAGCAGCAGGCCTGGCTTTCTGGGCCACACTGGGGGACGTCATAACAACCTCGCAACAGAACTAAATTCTGCAAAGTTTGAGTGGAGGCAATTTGAATAGGTTTTGGGGGACCCTTTTCATCCCACTGAGTCCCTAGTGAATGATGTCCTGGCACGTTGGTTTTCTGCTTACTTCCAGACCACACTCCTCACCCTGGATGCAGTGCCACAAAGCTCACCCTCCCTTAAGCTCGTATCATGCCAGGCCCTGGCAGCGGAAACCTTTAGTCCTTGTTTCCATCACAGCTTTCTACTTGTCATGTTAGAGCAGGCTTACCTTTAAAAAACTCACCTGCATTCATGTTGTATTCCTGGGTCTAAAGAACACAAAGTGAGTAAGACATGGTCCATGAAATAAGTCTGATAGAAATGACATCTCACGAAACGTGGTCATTGCCAATACAAAGGGACCACAGCAACAAGAGGCATTGACTCAAGGTCCAGGGGATGATAACCTTCATTTGATAGGATGGCGGGGTAAACGAGGTTTCTATGGGAGACAGCAGGGTTTTCATGGACGAATAAGAGTTCTAGGGAAAGGCATTACAAAAAACTTCAGAGAGTAGAACCTTATAGCGTGTTAAGAAGGAATACCAGTACAGGCCAGGGCGTTAGAGTGGAACAAATGATCAGGGACAAATCTAAGAGATACTTGCTAGTAAGGGAGAATGCCACCCTAGAGAAAGGGCACCGATAGGATATTGGCTTTGCTCCTGATTCTAAGAATTCTGCTTTCTAGTGCCTGCTTGACCACATCCACAACATGGTCTGAGAAGTGTGGGGAGGCATGCCTGCTTCAGGGGAAGAATCTCTGGGAGAGCGGAGGGAGGGAGGGCAGAAAGTGTTGGCCCTGTACTCAGAAAGCTTAGTAAGTTCAGGGTCAGGAAATAGGCGAATGGGGTAATGTGTGGAGGCCCATGTGACTTAGAACTTCACATGTTTGCCCTGGTCTTGGGCTCTTGTATCTGCTTTGAGCCTCTACAGCGAAGTCTCAGATTTGAGAGCCCAGTTCCTGACCAGCAGCTTCTCCCACTTGGGAAAAGAATGAGCTCCAGACAGTCTGGGTGAGCAAAGGTCCTTTGCAGTTACTTAACAAGTTTTGCTCCCCTACTTGGCCAGTTCTCATTGTCCTGGTCACTTTGCCAAGTCCAACTGACCCTTCAATCTTCCATCTTTGTCATCCCGTCACCCTGGTGCTTTCCCCTGCCTAGGACATTTGCCACATCCAATGTGATGAACCATTCTCCTACTAGACTGGGATTACTTGAAGCCAAGGATTGTATGGAATTCATTCCTCTGTCCTGAGCACTCATAAAGGGGGGAAGGAAGGCCATGCAAATGAGAGGGAGGAAGGGGGACTGAGGGACCCAAGCAGGGATGCCCGTGGTGAGCACCAAAAGGCAAAGCCGCTTGTCCTCCCTGGATGCTCTGTGCCCACAGGCCTGCAGGGAGCCTCTTCCATCAGAACTTTCTCAAGCAAACCTCTCCCATCTTACTTGGTCCTTGCTGACTTCTGCGCCTCTGGTGGGCTGGGCCCAGTGCTGCCTCCTGGTGCTGGAATCTAGTGGTGACATGGATGCTGGTTTTCCTGCTAGGACTTGGTGTCCTGCTGGTCCCCTGCAGAACTCATGGCATCTGTTAGGAGATGGATAGCCACAAGGCTTTGATGTACTTGGCTCTCCTGTCCTTGGGAGTCAGTAGTTCTTAGATACCTCACTGAGAGGATGCAGACATAGGTCTGCATCAGGTCTTCTATCAGAGGATCCTTTGAGGAAGACCAGGGTGGAGGAGTCACTGGGCTGGGGGAGTTTGTTGAGCACAACCCACTAGATCGCCAGCCCTAACCTGCACACGACATTTAGAGCCTGAAGCCTGGCCTGGTATCTGGGCTGGCTAGAAACCTATTACTGGTTCTCTCTTTTGTACCCATATCGAGGGCAACGAATTCTATCAGTCGCAGACACATCTTAGTCTCCAGCTCCATTTTCATTGCTGTTGCCAAAGAACAGGCTTCCCCTCCACGCCTGTACTCTCTCAGGTGTCCTTGCCCTGCTTCTCAAGTTGCCCATCTGGGCCCTTCTACAGAGAACAATGCGTTCTTTTATAGTAAAAACAAAGTCCGGTAATATCTTGTGAAGCTCTTCATCTAGTCCAAAGTTTGGGTCCAATCAGTGGGGTCAAATCTGACCTTGAGATTGACACCAGCAAATCTTCCCAGATAAGGGTGTCACTATGGGAATACAAGTGCAGTGGTGTTCTGGCTCCCTAAAGTTGCTGTACAGGCCTCCCAAGTTACCAGACAGTGAACTCCTCTACGATCCATTGTCCCATTTCCTTCCCTCTTCCGACTCTCCTGAGTTTTCCACCCAGAGAGTCAATGGCTTGGCCACAGAGCACACGGGTTGGGTCACATTTTGTACCGGCTGCCGTTGCTGTGTTGACTCATCAGTGTTATGGGATAACTCTTCATTTTTTTCCCTCCTTGGGCTTTTCTTTTGACTTCGTATTGTGTCTTAGTGTCCTGGGTTAAAGTTTACAAAGATGACCATCAGTTTCACCTCCGACAATTCGTACAGATTTTGTTCCCGCTCATCGAGTACCCTCCCCTCACTGAACCACGATTCAGCTCGATTCCTCCTCAAGCTCTCGGTTTCCATTGCTCCTTCGGCCCCAGCTCTCTGCACTCTGTCCCTGTGGGAACGCTGCCCGTGGTCTGAATGGTGATCGTTCTAAAGTGGAATGGTTCCGATCGAGAGCTGAGGGCGACCGAGTGCCACCGTCTTGGGAGTCACATCAGTCTCGACGCGAGCAGTAAGACTGGTCTCTTTTTATGGCTTTGGTTTCTGTTCTGCATTTTCCTCCCACTATATCCGGGCCCTTCTAACGCGACCTTTTCAGAGCACTGATTGGTGAACTTACGTCGGACTTGTCTTTGGTGCACATTTGGGTTTCAGGGTCCTGTTCTTTTGCCACCCGTGTGGCAGCAGAGATCAGTAGAGTCAATACCTACTTCTAGGCTCAGGGGGCTGGTGCCCTCGATCTCTGGTCAGGAACATGCGTGAGGTACATGGGGAGCCTGCATGAACCCTCAGGTGCATGGAATACCTTTTTGATTATTAGAAGTAGATACAGAAAACCGTGAAGGTATGGTTGAGCATGAGGCTGGGTAGGTAGTCAGGGCGTGTTAGGCTTCCTGCAGGCTAAGGAGTTTAGATTTAATTCTGTGGACAGTACGGAGTCGCAGATGGGTAATGTATGAGTGGGAATAATTAATTTGATCAAGGTGCTTCTCGTTGTTTCCCGGGAGCACTGGTGAGGCAGTGAATTAGACATCTGGTGAAGTTCAATGGTTCACCAGCCACTCCTCAGGCAGTTTCCTTGGTGAACATTTACAGCCTGAGGAGCCTATCGCTATGAGTCACAATCGACTCAATGCCAGTAGGTGTGGGTTTGGTTGCTTTGGAGGAAAACGGCGCCTTAGCTACTCCTCAGGTTTATTCAAGTGATCTCAGAATGTCGATGAAACTATTTGACTCAATGAAAGCATGAAACAGAATATGATAATGTTCCATGTTTTATGTCTCAAAAAACACGACTTTGGCATGGCTTGTGGTGCAGAATGTTGACATATTTCCAACTAAGGATACTTTATTATAATGTCAACCTGTTGCTCCATGAATCAAATGATGGTGGGGGTGCACAGAACCAGACCTTTCTTCGTTCGGCCCGCCTTTGGGCTTCTCACAGCCCCACCCTCTTGGTCGACTGGGAGCAAGGCTGCCCTGAGAACTGTGAGCACATGGTGATCAGAGGTCAGGTGATGGACATTTCTAAATTTCTCATTTTTGTGTCCCTCAAAAAGATATGTTAACATCTTAACGTCTGGTGTCTGTGAATGGGTCTTAATGGTAAATATGATTTGTGAAAATATTATCAGTTAATACGAGGTCGGAGTGCAGATAAACGGGCTCTAATCGCATCCAAGTGGTATCATATAAAAGAGGATAGAGAATGAGAGGGAAGGACGGCCGTGTGACGACAGAGGTAGATGCAAGGCAAGAAAGGCCCCGTATTATCCAGAATCACCAAAACCACTGAGAAAGGCATGGGCAGTTCTCTTTCCGAGCCCTCGGAGAGGAGCAACATGGCCCATAATCCGACTTGAACATTCGGCCTCCAGAACTGTGAGAAAATAAACGGCTGTACTTTTGTCACCTCCTTTATGGTATTCTGTGACAGCAGTACTAAGACACTCCATACTAGGCTCCTTTTTGATTCTCTAACACTCCTGACCGAACCTGCCTTTGCACTTGGGTTTCTTCTTGCCAGTTATACTGTCTGCCCATAGTCTGCTATTTTATATCCTTCCGGTTTTCCCTCAAATGACACATTTTCACAGAGTTATTTCTTCATCTCCCTCTTTTAGCCCCGTTTCCTTTCCCTGCTTGATATTTTTCATGTAACTTTGGTGTTGTTCGGCACTGTTATGATGCTAATAAATCATAGCAATTCCTTGTACAACATACCGAAACACTACCTGGCTCCTAGAAGCATCTGAATAGACTCAGTATTTTGCTTACTTATTTCATTTATCATCTCTCTGTTCAACTGTACCCTAACCTCCAGTGAACTCAGTGGGGTTTGTCTGCTATGCTCTCTGCTGTAAGAAAGTGCCGAGAATAGTGTATTTAGTGACTGTTTTTGTGGATCAGCTAAGTGAATATCTGTTTTCTGTTTGGGGAGTGGAGAATCCTGTAACTTCCAAAGAAGTGGAGTATGAACTCATGACATTCACACAATGATTTCACTTTGATTTTCCTTTATTTGTGGCACTAAAAGACACATGTAGAGATAGTTGTGGGCAAGAGCAATTGGCTGGGTGCTCTTTCTTCACCAAGGAAGGTTAGCAACATCAATCAGATAACACAAAGCTGAGATTCCATTCTCCTTGATGCCCAGATTGGAAGTATGGTAAAACATTAAAATGATTTTGCCAGATTTGTTGTTCCATTAAGATTGAGACTTTATTTAGTGAACGTTTCTTGATTTCTATTAACCTCATAAAAGAATTTTTTCAAGATAACAGAATGTTGTAGATATGTGAGTATATATGAAAAACTACTACTGTAGTTCAACTTGGTTATAAATACTGGTGACTAAAGATCATATACTAGCAGAAGACCGGGATATAATACAAGAGGATCTGCTACTCTGTTGAACAAAAGGGTTAAAACTGAACTCAAATCATGAAATAATAGCATAATTTTTATTTAATGTCGGCCAAATAGAAACACCCAACATCTGTTGTCATCTAAGGGAGTTCAGAAGGCCCCTGGGGGAAGTCAGAGGGCTCTGTACACAGCCTCTCCCCCAATACTCTGGAGAGGCCTGCTATACTTCATAACCCACCGGTGACTTGGTATCAAAGTGGAGGCCTGTTCATGTGACCATCTACTCCAAAGAGGCTCTGGATCTCAGTCATACGCCGTGACCTCTGGAGATCACAGAAATACCCTATCTGCACAATCACATGTGATGAACATTTGGTATAACAATATTTTATTTTAAAAATTCCATGGATCAGATTTTAATTTTCCTTGAGGTTTCGCTCCAACTCTTTGTGGAATAAGAACCAAATCGTTTCCTTTTTCCACACCCTCATCTTTGAAAAAGTCTCCCAACTCTTTATTATAACCCCACATAGCAGCCATATAACATATTGCATTTAGATTGTTTCAGCGGAATTTTTACAGATTTCAAAAGATTTTTAAACAAGTCAATGACTTTAACCATTTATATGTGGTAAAACTCCAAAATTGGTAAGAGATGATTCTTTTCAATTTGCCCATAAATCTAATTGAGTGTAGCGCTGGGCTGTAGTACTCATATTACCATTACCTGCCAACACGAATAGTTTATTGGCAACTTTGAATACACAGAGACAAAATACATCTCCTTGGCACACAAGCCATACAGCAAAGCAATATCTTCCCCACTTTTTGAACTATTATATGAGAACATGCTGAAAATCAACTCCACATATTTTGGCCAGTAAACAGGCAGTAACATCAACTCCTGCTGCTTCTTGCTGTGCAGAGCCCTTGAGTGAAGATTCTGGATATCTTACAGGATGCGTTCTTGCAATGAGTTGACTTTTATTGATATTCACACAAGCAAGGGCACCTGCAGGGAGAAAAATGTACAATTATTCACCATATGTTGAGAAGCCAAAGGTACCGAGGTGGTTAGGTGCCAGCAAGTTGGTTTCAACTCACGGCAATCCAGGACAGCAGAATGAAGCACTACCTGATCCTGTGCCAGCCTTGCAATGGTTATGTCTGAGCCTCTTGTGGAAGCCACTCTGCCGCTTCATCTAGTTGAGTGCTAAATGGCTATCTATGCAAAATCCCCTTGACATATTGTTCTTTAAACTCATTGAGATATTTTCATACTGAAACTCATTCTACTTATACTAGAAAGAGTAATCTTCCTGAAACACAAATATGTCTAAAATCTTTCAGTGACTTGCTATTATCTTCAACGTTATTGCATGAATACAGCATAGAATCCTTGGAAGGTAAAAAAAACAAAAAAACATTCTCCCAGACCCCTCTCATCTGTTTTCGGTTCCCCAAACCTCTGCAATTTCTACCCATATATCTGTTTTTGTTGTTTTTTTCCCCCCTTCTCTGGGCTGTTTTCTTCACGGGTTGTTTCTCTATCAGGAACGGATCTCTTCCTGCCCCACAGCCTTTTTTATTGTTTTTAAGAAAATGGTTACTCCTTCAAGAATAAATGTTCCTATCACCTCTTTGAAACAGACTGCCAGTGATGGGGCTGTTTGATCACCCCCTTCTGAGCTCGGTCTGAGTGCACTCCACGTGGGATACTGCCAAAGTGCTTGTGGGTTTTGATTTGTAGAATTCCGAAGGGAATATTTCAGTGCCCCCAAAAGATTAGCGGGGAGGAACTAGGTGAAGAGAACAGATGATTTCTCCCCATTGTTTCCCTGAGTCCACCTCACTCTGAACCGAGCAATAGCCATTAAAAGAGAGTTAAAAAAAAAAAAAAGAATTAAAAAGCAACTATTCATGGAACAAACCTAGTTCTCTTAACCATAACCACAACAATTACCACCACAACAAAGACGACCACGGTGCGAGGCACCATCCCAACCACTGCACCATTGTAACTTCAATCAGACGGTGCAACCACCCAGACCAGGTGTTCCTGCCATCACCATTCTTCTCATGCTGCCATCAATAGGAACACGAGGACCCGAGCAATAGAAGGGGGGTTGCTCCAGACCAAACACTAGTCAATAGCACTGCTCAGCAAGCTGACATGTGCAGAAAGTGGCCTGATATCCTTTGGATTAATGCGACTTCCGTCTTAACAAGGTTATCATATTTTGCCACCATACCTGAAACACCCTGTGCCTCCACCCATCTCCCTTTGGCCTCCTCCAATCCTCCACATTCAGCTTGGATTCCTTCCCTGGCAGCCTTTCAGGGAAGTTTATAAACGAGCAGGCAATTTTGATGCAGCACGAAGAATAGCAACAGTTTATTAAGCACTTCGCAGCATCAGACAGCGGGCCAAGCTGTTGGCACAGAGGCTTTCAATGATCCCTTACAACAATCCTGAAAAACAAGAAAAGTCTCTCCTCCCATCTGATAGGAAAAAAATGAAGCCTCAAGGCTTCGGAATGTTTAGGAAGGCTTCTCAGCATCCTCTTATCTGTGTCTGACACCAGGGCCCACTTTTCCCTTTCCCTATGTTATGTAAAGGCAACCTCTCCTTTAATTTCTCCCTTGCCCATTTTCTATGCTCCGTATAGAGCATACACCATGAGCTTACCTAAAACCTTTACAAATTGGAGTGCGTTCTTGCTCCATTTAACGGGATGTCTCATCAAGAACCCACTTTAACTTGTTAAAAAAGGAAAACACTCTCTTTACCTTCAAACTTGCGCTCATGACTCCCTATGTACTGACCGAGAGACAGACTGTCGGGGTGGAGGAGACACACGTGGTCCCCTCCCTCATAGGAGGACAGTTTAACGGGAGAATCGTGTGGAGGACCATTCCCCTGAGGAGGGAAAGCAAAAGCACAGACTCCGAGACAATGCTCAACAGGAGAGGAAAACCCAGACATGGGGAACATGGAAATATCTTCTGGAGAACTGATGTTAACTGAGGCTGGGGGGACAAGCACTGGAGGATTAGGCTGGGACTATTTCTGGCAGGAGGAAAAGTGTGTGTAAAGGCTCTGATGTGAAGAAGCTT